CAGAGAGCCACACGCGAAGCAATCGGGACAGGCAGCAAGGCAGCGGCGGAGCGCAGATGAGGACGTCCACACATCCAACACGGAGCAAAGCAGCACATGACCTACGCACATCACGATTGAACCCCACAGACTGTTGGTTCCCACCACCCACTGAGCCAGGGAGTCACTCCGACAAACATCCGTCATCACTACAGGCAACACAAACATCCAGAACCGAGCGGGTCCCATAAGAGTGCAGTAGGCACTTCAAACGGGGAACACCCGACTACTTTGCACTACTTAAGGGTGCTTAGTTGGGTAAACAAAAATACTTAGAAAAAGATCAAAGGGAGGAAGTGAAAAACAAACAAACATAAAACGGTGTGTGTGTGTGTGTGTGTCATGGAGAGAGAGAGAGAGAGAGAGAGAGAGAGAGAGAGAGAGAGAGAGAGAGAGAGAGAGAGAGAGAGACAAAAAAAAAAAAAAATGCATCTAGATATCCGCCACTTTCTATGTAACTTCATCATTACATATTCCGAAAGAAGCAACAATGTGAAATTCTTAAACAAGTATCGCGATATTCATATAAAAATAGCATAATTTGATACACAAACTTCTATTGTTTTCTCGATCGACATAATCTATGTATAAATTGTGCAATCCCCGCTTCCATTCCCTCTCAAAAACCCGAGCCACACTGGAAATGTAATATGTTTGTACTTGTTTGACCGACACAATCGACATATACATCGCGCCTCTCGCTCATCGTTTCGTAGTCTAAAATCTCATCCTCACTGGTGATGTAATACACACACACAGACACACACACACACAAACAAACACAAGAACACACACACACACACACAAACACACACAAAAATACACACACACGCGCACACGCATACACACATACACAATCACACATACACACACACGCGCACACACATGTATACCGTTGAGTTTGCATGCAGACAAACATACACGTATGCACACACGCTATACGTTGAACTATTTTTTCTTCTCCTCGACTTTTTTTTAACGTCACATTGTGCATTCCTCTTTTTCCTTGCCCGCTTTTCTTTTTTTATCGCATATTCCCTCACTCAAATCATGCTCTCTTTCTTGAGACTCCTCTCCTGACTCTTTCACTTCTTCCTTGTCAGATGTTTTTTCATTCTCACCTGACTGATCCACCAAGTTGATCACACTTTGACTCTTGTCCGCCTCCTCTTCATTCTCATTTTCCTCCCAACTCTCCATATTTGTCGTGCGTGGAACCTTTTCATGCTCTGTCGCACTAACACCCTCTGCAGCAACTTTTTTTTCTCTCATTGTTGACGTGGAAATTATTTGCGTTCCTGGACCAGTGCATTCCATATGCACGGGTCCATTCCCCTCTTCTTTCTCATGTGCACTTTGCTCCCTTGTGTCTTCGTCATTGCCTTGCGCCTGTGTAGTGGTGACAGTCGTATGTTGTGTTGCATGCGACTGCTTGGAATGTGAATCAACATTCCCTATCACCGCCTTCACTTCCTCATGTCTCTGGAATTTTGACCCTTCGCCATCTAATGTTTTTTGTTGTTGTTCTCCTTCGATATTTTCGTCCTTCCCGCCGTCATCGTCCACGTGTGCAACAACTTCCCTGCCTGCTGTTGGTGTTGCCGCACTTCTGCCTCCTACTGCACTGATGCCTTTTGATGGTCTGAGTGTTGGTTGTGATGCAGTCAATGGTCGTTCAACGAACTCATCACCGTTTGTGTTATGTATCCTAAAATGCCCTTCCTTGTCTGCCACACCCTCTCCACCAACTCCTGATGTTGCTGAATCGATCTTCTTCCTTCTTCCCGTGTGTCCCTCAATGCCTTGACTGCATCTTACAAGTATATTGTTATCGTACATACAGTCCATTGCACAATAGTCCACAGACCATATGACACCTCCGTACGACAGACTCGATGTTTTGTCGTGGAACGCAGCGCAATACTCGAGAAGATGATGTTCACGCACAACGAGTTCACTTTGTCTGATTTTCTGTGGCCCGGCGCATCTTTGTTCCCCCGCTTCACATGGGGAAACAGGTTGTCCTTCCTAGTCTTATAAAATTTCCTCCTGAGGAATCTTTTCCTGAACACTCATTTCTCACCCATTCGGATAGCCATGTGCCATCTGCCATCAATCACACATGGTTCGAAGAGACATGGATGCCATATGATGTGATGGCCCCACTCGTGATCATATGACTCTTTGCACTTTATGTTTAGAAAGTGAGGTCCTCCTTTCATCTCCTTCATGTCATATGATATATTATCACCCGACACAAGATTTTTGGGAGCGTCATCCACGATGTCAAAGAGGGGATTATCCTCTATATTTATCCCATTTGGGCCGTCCACGGATTCCTTGTCTGCATGCGGGTCATTTTGAGCTTTGCCGTCTGTCGGTTCTTCTATTTCAATTCTGAACTCTCCTCACCAGGGAAACAAATCCTGGGGTGGCGTCCTTCACGTCGCACTTAGATGTGCTTCCTTCCATTGCACCACCTGTGTTTGGTGTTGTTTCACGCATGACATTCTTAGTCCTTGTAATTGCGATAGTGTCGCCGACATCTTCCTCCATCGCTTGTTGACCACCCAGAACAAACAGCGAAGGCGCTTCCTCTCTCACTGCATTGTGATGTGCACCCGGCGATGGGAGGTTAATCTCATCATTCTCTGTCTCCTCCTCACGGTCCATAACGTCGAACTGCTCCCTAACACCCAGTACCTCGCAATACACTTTGGCATTAATTTTGTCTCGCTTCTTTTCAAACCACAGTTGTTCACATCGCCCCAGAAATATCTCAATTGCACCACGTTTGGCATTGTGATATCATTGCAGATGTTGGATCGCTATCACCTTACGGTACAGGTGCATTGCATAACAGATACCTCCACATAGAATCTCTCTTCTTGCCGAGCTTCAGGAGCATGTCTCGGTCCACATGATGTCGAGGTTTCGGTCGTCCGAAGTAACACCTACTATTCGGATTGTGGACGTGATGATCGACAAACAAAGAGTACTCCATCATGTTTGACGAACCATCGCATGCGACGACATGGCGTCCTGAGCGAAGCAAGTCCCACATTGTTCCCGCCTGCACTTTGCCCAATAACAAGATACCTTCCCCTTCCTTCGAAAACCAAATGCACAAGTTTTTCATCTTTGTTGGTTCCCTCTCTCATATCTCGTACATGGGTTTGTTATCGCCTCACAATCCAATTGCCTCTTTTATACATCGTACAAACAACTTCTTCACATAATCTGTGTCGAAGAGTTTGTTCTCGCGAGGCTTCGCGACCGTGACCTTTTTCAAATCTTTGTTTGTATCGTGCGGCACTATGGTCATGGAGTCACGCCCTCTCAACGAAAGGTTTCTAACTTGTGCCCAGGATGATACCGCTTCGCTATGACAATGCCAGCACCTTGGAAGAACTTTCACACCCTCCCACCTGAACACGTTTTCCAAAACCGTTTCCTCGCCTTTCAATGCATTGAATATGATTAGCGCTCAATGCGTCGTGCACAACACCGTCATCATTTGACGGAGCTCGGGAAAACTTTGCTCATTCCAACACTACAAGGGGACAACTCAACTTCCTCACAGCACGAGTCAAATCTTCGATCAGGTGCAGTGCGTCCATAGGTGAGATGCATACAGGAAGATACATTGTGTGATCTTTGCGCTTGTCCTACATTATGTGTTCATCATTTGAGCTGATCCGCCGCAGCTCATCCTTAAAATGGTCAATTGCGCCGAAACTTTCATGAAAAAAAAGTTTGAGGAAGTACGAACACTCCATATATATTGCATTCATCACCTTGTGCCTCTGACATTTCTTTTTTCTCGTTTCACCTCATCCACACCGCCCAATCGTTTTGGGACATTGATTGTCTTATCTGCTAGAATGTTCAACTTGGTTTCTTCTCATTTCTCCCTCGTCAACCCTCGTGGTGCAAATTGCCTCATTATGGTATTGTATCCAATGAAGAACTTGTCATTTCACTCCTCCTTCGACCTCTGCTCTATCTTGAACACGATATGCTCACCATATGTATTTCTCTTCTCACCTCCACGTACAGGTCTTGCATGTTCATCAGTTTTTTCACGAATGCCCTTCCGTTTGTGACGACAACGTGTCCCGCAAGTATTTTCTCGAGGGCCATCTCCTTCTCCCTTGGCGTGAAATTGTTGAACACCTTTCATGCGCTTGTTGGGGGATCATTGATGCAAACATAAAAACCCGACGAGCTATTGTTGGACTGAACATAGTGCACCAACACTTTTTTGCCTATCACGGTCTTCGCAGCAGGGCCCGGTCATGCCGCCTCACCTGCTTTCCCTTCTTGATCCACTGGTCCCAGGCAGTTCCCCTTTCTTCCATTTGTCAAAGAACTTCTCAACAGATTCCACACCACCTTACCACTTGCCGCAAGACACATGTAGGGCCTTAACAAGTTTGACCAATTCCTCACAAATCTTCTCGTCAATGACTGGTTCGACAGCGTAGTGTCAGGAGTCGTCCATATAGCTTTTCGTACGAACTCCTGATATTGGTCACACTGTGCAGTCCTTTCATCAACCGTCTTCACCTGATGTCAATCACCTTTTGACTCTTTCATATTCTTCCACAGTCCTCTTATAGCAGTCACAGCCATTCGAAATGACGAAAGGATAGCATGTGTCTCCCTAGTGTTGTCAAATGTGTAGATGTACGCATGCCCCTCGAAATGGTCGTCGTCAAAATACACAACCCGCACCTTCCAAGAATGCATGCCCCACTTCTGGGCAGCAGGCGATCCAACAACAACCAATCGCTTTGCTACCTCCGTGGTATGTTGGCCGGCCACGGTGTACCAATGGTAGGAGGCAACCTTGCCATTATCCCACTCCTCCAGCTTCACACACTCCCACTGGTTTCAGCCTTTCTTCTCCACTTGTACGACCGGAGCAAGAATCCACGTGTTTCTGTCTCACTCCTTCTGGTTTTCTGGGTGTTTCATTGCGTCCCTGATCAACATCTCGTTCAACGGCCTGAGGTTGTATTGCACGCCTTCCGATGGGTTGGGAAGTATGTTGACGACGTCGATGAAAATTTGGGTAGGCGGATCTATCGCATTGTCGTTCGCGTCGTATTCGAGGAAAAAACATTGAGTGGTGTCGATATTGTCGTAGGTCAACTCTCCTGGCTTCGACGTTGTATGTCGTGGGTCAACCCCCGCCGCTTCGTCCCCAGAGTCGGCCACTTCCTTTGTCTCCTCGGCCTTTGTTTTCTTTTTTGGTCTCTGGGAAGATTAAGGGCATTCACGTTTTTCCTTTGCTAGTTTAGCGGATTGGGCCTCTAAGGATTTTTTGTAAGCCTCCTTTGAGACTTGAAAGTTGATGAGCTTAGCTTGTCTCCGTTTCTCTTCCATTGTTCTCCTGACTTTCATTTTCCTCTTGCGCAAGCGTACAGACCTATGTGTGCTATACAACACACCGTCATCTTCGGACGGGCCGTGATGGCTTGTGGCACGAGAACACTCTTCCCGCCTTTTCTGTGAACCACTATTCTTGTCGTCATTGTCGTTTGCCCCACCCTCATCTCCTTCGCTTCCGCCTTTGTAGTTGTCTTCCCGTTCTTCGGCGTCCTCTTCACTTGCATTCTCATCCTCTTCTTCTTCACTCTCATCGCCTTCGTGACCACCATCCTCTTTGCCTTCACTACCATCGCCTTGGGCCCAACCATCCTCTAAGCGTTCCTCTTCATCTTTTGCACCGTCACAGAACCGTTGTTCATCGTCCTCGTCTTCTGTGTCTTTCGCGTCGTTGCCCTGCGGCCCACCACTCACCGTCCCACTGACGGAAGCACGAGTCCGCCTGTGTCTTCTCGTCGTCATCCTCATGGTCAGTGACCCCAATAGTCGGAGACAAAGAAACGCGAGCAGCACATTCAGCATGTGACTGTGCCTGTTTTGCAGACAGACCCTTCGACTGGAGTGGAGCAGTGGACTTTCTCACGCTCTTTACCTGTGTCGATGTGGCCCTGCTTTTGCTCATTTGGGCGGATGTTTTCGGCTCCCCGCAACTCTTGCCTACCGCCTTTGGCGAGCAGACAGAGACGTTACTCCATAAAATGGCTTGGCCCATCGTCTGCAGTTTGTGGCATCGCACGATGTCTGCGAAGCCTTGAAGATCACAGTTGAACGGCACGAAGGGAGTTGACAATCGTAGCATGTTGTCAATCGTCACGATACACTTTGACACTTTATAGCAGTTAACGCGTTTGAGGAACTTGAATGGTCTTAGCATCACCATCTGCGACGTATCCTTCTTCTTCGACTTGTCAAACAGTGGCATCACGGATGTCGTAACCTTGGAACTTCTCGACGTGGAGCGACATGAGCTTGTAGTTCTCAGGCACCTCGTGACCATCGATGTCGAAACACGTTGTGAGATGGAATCTCATGTACTCCTCATCAGGAATGTTCTTATCAAATGAGTAAGTCTTGATACCCTCGCATGGGTTGTAACCGCCACTCTCATCCCACAAGAAAAGGACTGACCCACAATAGGGGACTTCCATACCGAGGTGCCAATCGATTGCCCAATACTTCTCTTGGAATGTGACGGCCCTTTCGAAAACCTTCAGCATAGAGACCCCTGATGAGCAAGCAGCTGCAGAACACCGCATCCCACACCGCCGTAATACACGGAACAAACATACGGTAAGGAGAAGGGGGGGATGGGGGAAGGCCTCAAGGACCGGTGGCAACAGCATGATGCCAACCTTCATTAGTACTGGAACATCTAACCAATGTTCGGACAGGATGGTGTCATGTCAGCCATTACATAAAGCATAGTCTACAATACGCGCACCAGACACGCACAGAACGTCTACAAGCGCAGACATGGGGAATGGGTAAGTTGACAAATCATCTAACCACCCCAACCTGAGTATTCCCCTAACGGGAAAGGGCCGTTCCCACCAAGCGATGTCTAGTTCTTAGCACCAACACAGGAGAAGCACAATGGCAACAGGTAAACAGGAAATCACTTGTTGCCACCCCGACATCCCTACCAGCCTAACGGGAAAGGGTTGTTCCCATCCCGCCATGCCCAGACCTCAGGACATGTATCTAACCAACCCAACCTTCCCATTCCCTCAACTGGAAAGGGCCGCTCCCACCAATCGATGGTCAGTCCTTAGCACAAGCACAGGAAAGGGTTGCTCACACCGTGCGACATTCGTGACGCCAGACCCTCTTGAGCGTGCAATGCTGTGCGAACGTCGGACCATCCATCGAAGGGTCTAGCGCCCTGAGGACGCCAGACCATCATATGCTCCAGCGTCGTCGAGGTGTCGGAGCATTGAAGGGTCTGGCGCCTCAACGACGCCGGACCATCAGATCGTTGAAGGGTCTGGCGCCCTCGAGCCGCCGGACCATCAGATGGCACGACCATTAGATTCTCCGGCCTCGTCGAGGCGCCAGACCATTGGAGGGTCTGGCACCTTAACGGCGTCAGACCATCGGAGGGTCTGGCTCCTTGAGGATGTTGGACCATCGGAGGGTCTGACGCCTTGAGGACGTCGGACCATCAGATGCCCTGGCGTCCTCGGAGACGTTGGACCTTCTGGTGGTCTGGCGTCCTTCGAGTCAAGCCACCGGACTATCGGATGGCACGACCATTAGATGGTCCGGCTTCGTCGAGGCGCCGGAGCATTGGAGGTTCTGGCGCCTTAACGACGCCGGACCATCGGAGGGTCCAGCGCCTTAACGACACCGCACCGTCGTAGGGTCTGGAGCCTCGACTACGCTGGACCTCTGACCAGGCCATCCGATGGTCCGACGTCCTCAAGCCGCCGAACCATCGGATGGCATAATCATCAGATGGTCCGGCGTTGTTGAGGTGTCGGGGCATTGGAGGTTCTGGCACCTTGACGACGCCTGACCATCGGAGGGTCTAACGCCTTAACGACGGCGGACCATCGGAGGGTCGGGCGCCTCAACGAGGCCAGAACATCTGCCCGGACCATCCGATGGTCCGGCATCCTCGAGTGCCCGGACCATCGGAAGGCACAGCCGTCAGATGGTCCAGCGGCGTCGAGGCACCGGAGCACTGTAGGTTCTAGCGCCTTGACGACGCCAGACCATCGGAGGGTCTGGCGGCTCGACGACGCCGGACCGTATGACTGGAGCATCGACGTCGTCAATGCACCGGACCATCAGATGGCACAACCATTAGATGGTCCGGCGCCGTCGAGGTGCCAACTGTCGGATGGTCCGGCGTCGTTAAAGCGCCAGACCCTCCGATGGTCCGGTGTCGTCAAGGCGCCTGAACCTCTAATGCTCCCACACCTCGACGACGCCGCACCATCTGACGGATGTGCCATCCGATGATCCGGCGGCTCGAGGACACCGAACCATCGGACGGTCCTGTCAGATTGGTCCGGCGTCGTCGAGGCGCCGAAGCATTGGAGGGTCGGCCGCCTTGAGGACGTCGGACCATCGGAGGGTCTGGCCCCTCAACGATGTGGGACCCTCTGAGGGTCTGGCGCCTTAAGGACATCGGACCATCTGAACGGACTATCGATGTCCTCGAGCCGCTGGACCATCGGATGGCACAACCATAAGATGGTCCGGTGTCGTCGAGGCGCCCGAGCATTGGAGGTTCAGGCAACCACAGACCCTTCGACGGGCGTGTCATTCGCTGGTCCGGCGGCTTAAGGACGTCAGACCATCCGAGTGTCTGGCGCCTTGAGGACGCCGGACCATCAAATGCTCCGGCGGCGTCGAGGCGTCGGAACATGGAGGTCTGGCGTCCTCAAGGCGCCAGACCCTCTGATGGTCCGACGTCCTCAAGCCGCAGGACCATCCGATAGTCCGGCGGCGTCGAGCCGCCGGACATCAGATTGTCCAACGTCCTCGAGTCGCCAGACCCTCCGACTGTCGTGCGATCTGATGGTCCGGCGGATCGAGGACGCTAGACCATCGAATGGTCCTGCGGATCGAGGACGCTGGAACATCGAATGGTCCGGCGCCTCGTGGACGTCGGTCCATAGGAGGGTCTGGTGCCTTGAGGACGCCGGACCATAAGATGCTCCGGCATTGTCGAGGTGCCAGACCATTGGAGGACTCTGTTGGAACTAGAACAGTTACTGCACAAACACAAACAAACAAAAGCGACTTGCCAATCATACCTTTGGGTGCCATCTCGAATGGAACTTGAGGACGAGCTCAGTCCCGATGGCTGGTTGTGTTCAACTGTCGTGGTGGTGGTCTGAAATGGATATGGAGGTTCGTCAGTCACTCGCGATCAACAACCACTTGAAATTTCATAATGAAAGATTTTGAAGTGGTCGGAAACCGCTGAAATGGCTTGTAGACACTTCAGGTCATTTCAGAAGTTTCGAGCGGTTTGGAGGAGAAGTTTTATGGGGGTTTTTTTTTGCCTGTTTTATTTTTTGGCTTAACGTTGCTTTGTGTCGCCTGAAATGACCTCAAGTGCCTGAAGCTTCTGAAAGGGTTTTCAGGTCCCCTCATCCAACCATTTGGATGGGGGCACCTGAAACCCCTTTCAGAAGATTCAACCACTTCAGGTCATTTCAGGAGTTTCAGGTGGGGACATGAAACCGCCGTAATGACCAGAAGTGGTTGAAGCTTCTGAAAAAGGTTTCATGTACCTAAAACTGCTTTCAGAAGTTTCAGTCACTTCATGTCATTTCAGGAATTTCAGGTGGGGACCTTAAACGTAGTATTGATCTGAAGTGGTTGATGCCTTTGAAAGGGGTTTCAGGTACCCCCATCTAGCCATTTGGATGGGGGGACCTGAAACCCCTTTCGGAAGTTTCTGCCACTTCATGTCATTTAAGGAATTTCAGGTGGGGACCTGAAACCGCCGTAATGATCTGAAGTGGTTGAAGCTTATAAAAGGGGTTTCAAGTACCCCCATCCAAATGGTTAGATGGGAGTACATGAAACCCCTTTCAAATGCTTCAGCCACTTCAGGTCATTTCAGGAATTTCAGGTGGGGACGTGAAACCGCAGTAATGACCTAAAGTGGATGAAGCGTCTGAAAGGGGTTGAAGGTACCGCCATCCCCATCCAAACATTTGGATTGGGGTACCTAAAACCCCTTTCAGACGCTTCAGCAACTTCACGTCATTTCAGGAGTTTCAGGTGGGGACTTGAAGCGGTTGAAAGTGACATGTAAATAGCGTTTGTTACTAACCATCTCTCCCACTGGTTCGTTGGGGGATGTTGTGACGGAAGTGGGGTGTCGTTGCACAGTAGCCTTACTCAACGCTTCCGCTTCGTCAACGGTCCACCTTCCACAATGACGACTAACAAGCAATGCATCGTGTCACGGATCCAAGTGTCAATGGAGGTATTTTACCGGTTCTCTCGAAAAAACAAAAGGTGGGGGGAGAATCATGATTCCCCCACCACCTTTGACAATGCCAACGGGAACCAATCACCGAAGTGTCAATCAAGAACAGAAGTGTCAATCAAAGATCGAACTACCATTCAATGTGTTTCATCGATTTTCTCGAAAACAAAAGCTCAAAAAATAAACGTTGGGGGAGGATAGCGATTCTCTCCCTACCTTTCATAATGCCAAAGGGAACCAACCAATGAAGTGTCAATCAATGATCGAACTGTCATTCAATGTGTTTCACCGGTTTTCTCGAGAGAAAAAAGGTGGGGGGAGAATCTCCACGAGTTGTGTCATCCTGTTGCATCAGATTAAACTTAGTCAAATTCATGTTCGCTAGGGTGTTGTGCGTAGCTAGTTCAAAACAAAAGTAGAATTTAACCGACACAGTTGTATATGTCTCGCGCAACGAGTTCAACTTCAAAAAGAGAAACATGTGTTTAGTTCAAGGCCGATGTGCAAACGGCAGGATGGGTACAGTGTTAGGTGGTCAGGTCGAGGATATCGACATTTGGCAGATGTAGAGAAAATTATGATGGGTATCCGTGACGCAATAGGAAAATCATTGTCAGGGACTCAAGGGTTCGTTCGCATGAAATACATTTCAGTGTTCACAAAGAATGCAACCCCTGAGGAACCGCAGTGCCTCACATTCGGGTCTTCGATGAACGCGTTGTATGGTTTTGGCTTCTCATGGGATCCCGCTTTACGGTGATGTCCACTTGAATGCAGAAACATTATCAAGGATTTTCATAGTCAGGGACCTGAAGCTCACATGTGTTTGCATGTGGTCAGACCATTTCATGCACGATGTGGTCCGACGCATTGGGGACGCCGGACCTCTGGATGGTCGACGCGACGGGGACCGCCGGAGTATCCAATGCTTTGGCGCCTCGGGGACTCAGGCCCATGGGATGGTCCGGTGCCCCGGGGGATACCAAACCATGGGATGATCCGGCACCTCGGGGTCGCCGGACCATCCGACAATCAGGCGTCTCACGGAATTCAGCCAACGGGAGACGGTTCAGTGCCTTCCCGGCTGCGGTGCCACTGGGATGTCGGAACACCCGACGGTCTAGCGCGTCGGGGCTCCGGAGCATCCGACAGTCCGATGTCTCGCGGGCTAGGGACCATTGCATAGTCTGGTGCCTCAGGTGCGTCGGAACATCCAATGGTCCGGTGCCTCGCGGGCTCCGGACCATGTGGTGGTTCGCTGCCTCGGGGGTTCCGGACCAGGGAATGGTCCGGCTCCTCGAGCCTGCAGGACCATCCAATATCTGGCATCTTCAAGACTACGGATCATGGGACAGTTCAACGCCTCGGGGACTCGGCACGTCTGGGGGGTCAGGGCATGTATGGCAACCTCCACAACTGTCGCGCCGTCCAGTGTGAAAGACCGACCATCGAAAGTCGGGAAACCCACGATACACAAATTATCGCTATCATGGTTTCACGCTCTCCACATTCTGTTGTTCCTGGTGGCGGGGCGAGGTGCAGAAAAACCTACAGTGATCGGATGGTGCACCGACATCCTCTACCCACACTGCCAAGTGTCCTAGTGTGTTAAGCTCGGCAGACCATAAGACCTTGGTGTCGTTGTTCAAGGATCAATTCGTTATGTGGTTGGCCTATCGGAAGGTCAACGTGATAATAAAAATTTTCGTTAACAATGTCTCTGAATGCTTTGCATAAAACATTCACACGTCGAACATCAACAGTGAGAAGGGGAGTTGCTCACATCCATCGCAGTCGTCCTCTGGATACCAAGGAACTCCATCACCGCAACGACCCCTATCCAACTTAGAGAGCAGGTCCCCTTCAATGGGGAAGCTTCGCCGAAACCATAACTCATCGCCACGTTCAATTCGTACTCCTAAGAAGAGAAAAATAGTTCTTCAATATAAGATTCACCCATCTCACCCTATGGTCCGAAGGTTGAGACTGGAGGATTTAATCAAGGAAATCGAGCATGACGGATTCGCTCCTCCTCCTAATCAGGCATCATCAAAATATTTGTCGCCTCCGGGCATCCGCTGTGAGGAAGACTCATCCGTTCGCCGCCAATCGGATGAGGACATCAGTGAAAATGACGCTTCTTTTCCACCGCATCGGTCTTCCGATGAGAGTGAACATCACACGACACAACAATGTGCCAGTAAGCCATCATCCTTAATGACGGAGTCGGGGTCAGACATGGGGAAGAGGAAATACACGTACGTTAAGTTAAAGCGAAAAAGCGAGATATCAGATGCAAATTTGTTAGAGAAATGCACCATGGAAGAATGCAGAGTCGTGTTGAAGACGTGCTCCAAAAAAAAGCAGTGTTGTTCTAGAATGACAATGGAAGAGGTGTACGAGGCAAAGATGAGGTATAGATCGCCGAGCCCCGAAGAAAGGCGGAAGTGGTGAATGAAACAACTAGACAGTTTTACTTGCATTCAAGATGAAAAGAAGGTGGTCAAACTTGTCGTGGAAAACACACACGATTTGCATTAAGGCATGGTGCTACATAATCGGTTTTTCAAGAAACAGGTATTCGTTCTACCATGATTTGCATGAAAACGGTACACGGTATTGCTGATTTATAAAAGAAAAAGTTACTCCACCACATCAGCAGTTCATTCCATGACTTTTCAGACATTCCATACTTTGATCATGGAGGAGGCCGATGCAATGTCAAATCAGATAGACGTGAACAAGGACTACGAAGTTAGACCGCGCATCAGACTGCCTCCAATGTACGCTACCAAAATAAATGTTTATGAAAGCGTCAAACGACGGTTGCATAAATAGGACATAGACTGCTGCTCTTCGGAAGTATTCGAAAAAATGTGGCGTGTTTTTTATTCTAGCATGTTCACCTGGCAAGGTCAACCGACTATGCCTGATGCAATTACTGCACAAAACAAACAAACTTTATTGAAGGTTTCACGCCAGACGTCGGACGAGGTCTCATTGCAAAACTCAATCACCATACAACAGAAAAATTCCCATTAGAAATGAAAGTTGAAAAAACATTTAAAAAAAAAAAAAATCCTTCATATTTATAAATTATCATTCCAATGTTGGTCCAATTATAAAATTTTCAGTTTTATTTGATAAGTTACCGTCTAAATATGAGTTTTCCCTTCTAACTACATCTATTTGTTCAAGATAGAATGAAAGTCTGGACGAGTTTATGAAATGTTTTAATTAAACTTTCATTCCACTACAACAAATATCTTCTAATTTAGATTGGATTAACATATTTATGACTGAAAATCTTTACTTAGAATGACAGTCCAATTAAAAAATTTCATGAACCCATCCAGACTTTCATTCCATCTCTAGCATGCAATTCAAATAAGAAGGAATACCTCATTCTTGTAAGAAACGTTTTCACGTAAGAAGGAAAATTTTGAAATTAGAATGACATTTGTTTAGATGGAATGAAAATTTAAAATTTATAAAGTAATTTTACTATAGAATGATTATTTAATTCTGGGAATTTTTTTTTTTTTAGATCGTTGCAGAAAGCACATCGCAAACTATATCAAATATAATAGGTAGAATTTAAGTTCATAAGGAACATAAGTTTATGCCTATTAATGGATGGCATGAACCAAACAAAAACTGTAATTTTTCACAATGCTAGCAACAAAACATCAAAGGAGATGGAAAATCGCACAATTAATAAGACAAATCTCACCGTTATTCTAGCACATGGAAGAACTTCGCATATTATCGTTCACACATGATTTTCTGTTTTCTCGCATGTCGTTGACTCGATGGTGTCATCAGTCGCTAAGGTGTTGAGAGACATACAGACACAACCAGGAGGGTTGCCTCCAAGTCCCAAAATCCAAGATGGCAACTTTGGTGGTCAAAATAAGAACAAATATGTATTTGCGTTTCTGACACTGTTGGTTAAATTTTGCATTTTTGAAGAATTGAAAATGAGATTCATGATAGTGGGTGACACACATCGATGTGAAGTTAGTTTATTCTCTATGAAAGCGGGTTCAAACGCCTACACGATGAAAGAATTATTCACAACACTTAGAAATTCTACGATGTAACAGGCAGAGTGCACATTTGAAAAAAGATGGCGGATTGGAAAAATGTTGTGAGAGGTTTTTTTGACAAACAAGCTGGTGGACATTCCACCCCACATCTCTTCAGGCTCTATATGGACGGTGACAACCCTACAACGGTGTACAAAGAGTATTGCAACAGAAATGAGTGGTTGCCTGAAGGCGAACCCATTTACTGGTTCAAAAGAGATGAGAAGGAAAGATGGGCAGGGTCTTCCATCTCATTTGAACCACGTAGCCTAAAGGTTACATTGGAAAGTGGGGACTTCGTCAAGGGCTTGCAAGGTGTAGGTGCTTTGGTGGATTAATGAAAGGAGGAGCGATCCGAATGGGAGACACAAGAACAGTGGAAACGAGAGCTGAAAGAAAGTCGGCTATAGTATTGGGAAAATCATTTAGAGAGATTAAAAAACATGAAACAATGCAAAAGTGATGAACATGTCGCATTGTCAACCCCATTCTAGCCATTAGAGATATTAACATACATGGAACAATACAAAAGTGATGAACCTGTCGCATTGTCAACCCCATTCTGACCATCACCGATGTCAGACATCGTCGAAGAGGCGATATTGATTCCGGATGGAGAATCTCTACCAAGGAAACCTTGCTTTGTAGGTTTTAAGAGTGAGGCCCCCAAACCGGTGTCGGGGCAGAAACCCTGACAAGTGTATCTGCCCGTGTTTTTCAATGTCGGACGCTGTCTGACCTTTTCACTTAATTAGAAGACTTGATGAGATTGACGTTGCCAGAGTTTATCCAGACCAACGCTATGACTGAAAGACTTGAAC